AAAAAAAAACAGAGAACATGCTAAAGTTTCCAACTTTATCACTCACAAGCCAAAAAAAAACTAGTCATCAACAAGAAACCCAAAGGGTAGGGATAAATAAACAGGACAAAAAAAATCAAAACTTTGACTGAATTAATGATTTAAAAAAAAAAACACACACACACACACACACACATTCAAAGAGAGAAAAAAAGGAAAGGACCCATTAATCCAATTGAGAATCTTGAATGAAAAAACAAAAAATAAACAAATATTCACAAGTATTCAAGAAAATGCAAAGCTCCCATCCTTCCATACAAAAACACACACATTTCCACAAATATTCACCAGCAAAATCATAAAAGATTAGAAATTGTACATACCTGAATCTTCAAGAACTCTTCTTTGCTCATTTTCTCAGCTACCCACCACACAAGAAAGACAAATGGGACTCAAAATCTATTGATTGTGAAATTAAAAGAACAAAAAAAAAAAGTGATAGATCTGAGGCAAAGGAAAGTCTTGAAATAATTTAAGTGCAGCCCATCAAGAAAGAGAAAAGGAAATCACAAAGAGTATAGTGATAAAGATATTTTTCCCTTTATTTTTTTCAGACCCTTTGTGTGAATAACATTAATTACTTCCCTGCTGAGTTTCTGGGCTTCCTCTGTTTCAGAGTTTTAGCAAGAAAATAGTGTGGGTGTGTGTGTGTGTGAGAGAGAGAGAGAGAGGAGAGAGATGGGAGAGAAAGAGATAACTAATTAAAATGCAGCCTTGGTAAAGGGAAACACTCCACTCTCTTTTTGGTTTAGGGGCATTATTTATGGGTAATCTCTTTTTTCTTTTTTTTCTTTTTTTTTTCTCCAAAAATAATAATACCTCCTATTTTTAATATATATCGTTTTGAGAAGTTGCACATTAATTAAAAATATATTTTTTATCAATAATAACTTTATTTAATAGAAATACAGATGAATATTTTGAAAAAAAGAAAAGAGTAAATATGAAAAGGCGTAATGTATTTATTAGCTAAACGAGGATAATAATGAAAAAATATGTATAAAAGATCTAAAACGATATTTATTTAGCTAATAGTTGATAAAGGTAAAATGACATTTAAAAAAATAAAAGGGAGTGGGAAAGGAATAGTATTAAAAATTAATTGTTTCTTGCAAACTTTTTAATTAATCAATATAATAAAGAGGAAACAAGCAATTAGGGTTTTGAGGGTGGTGGTGGTGGTGATAATTGCCACCATGAGCCAACTCTTTTTTTAAAAAAAAAAAATAAAACAATAAAACAATAAAAAAAAAAAAATTGCATAATTTTAGGCTTTTGGGCTTATGGCTTGGCTTTAACTAGAGTTGCTGAGTTTTTTTCATCAGCTCGGCTTAACCATGGTCAAAGATAGCCGACTAAATAAGTAAACCATAGTTAGATGAAAACAATATCTGGTGAAATATTTATTACTGGGTGATGTGAATGAGTTCTTGTCAGAAATTTTTCTCCCCTCTATGAAAAGTTGGTTGGTGTAATAAATATTTAACAAAAAAAAACAAAATAAATAGAAAATGATGTTACATGCTCTCTACTGTGCAGGTTGCTGCAGTTGGGGCAATTCGATTGTGAAATTACTTGATTACCCTTGGCTGATTTACCTAGATTTCTAGTGATGTAAACTTTTTTTTTTTGTCCATATTACATTTGGTCAAAGGGTTTTGATTTTATTCCATTCACAGCACATGTAAGTGTGTATTGAATTATGATAAATATTATTTAATCTTTTCTAGTACAGTTTTTTTATTTATTTTTTTTTTTTTTACAGATTTTTATTTTTTTTATGTTTAGATTCTCTCAATAATGATTCCTTTGTCTATTGTACACAGAGTTACCACGAGAATTGGTGTGACAATATATCACGTACGATATAAAATTTAGAATTTAGAATTGGTACTTTGATTTATACTATTTTTTAAAATATAACATTTTAGTTCGAAAGTACGCATATGTATTCAAAACTATGGTTGTCTAGTCATCTGATATGTGTAACTCTTATTACTGAATAATAAGTCATGAATCTTTGTATATAAATTATACGGTTTTGCTATGAAGTCAACAGTTGACTTCATAGTGGAGCCAATCTTCTATATACAACAAGTAAACCTATCATATTCGTTGATTACTTAAATAACCCTAATATAATCTTATTAATATATTAGGTTTACTTATTGTATATAGAAGGTTGACTTCACTATAGAGGCAATTGTTGGCTTCATAGCAAAACCGATGAACTATATATTTAATATATGTAAAATTGAGAGATTCTATAATTTCAAGATCTATATACATATAACAAGGTTTGATATTTACTTGAAATAGTAATAGAAATCCCGCCAAAAATTTAATTGTTACCGTTATTAGTAACTTTTTAAAATATTTTTAAAAATTGGCAGCTAATTATTTGAAATTCGAATTTAGAAAATCAATATAATTAATGTGGAGAATAATTAATCAAAGTAAATAGATATTTGCCAAATTGTGATTTTATATATTTGAAAATTTACAATATTATATAGAGCTAAAAGGATCAATATTTATGTAAATATTTGGATATTCCGCGATTGTACCAGGAATTGACACCACTTTCCTAAATGCCTATCATATTTGTTTGCATTGTTTGTTCTCATTTCCGTCTTTTTTTTTTTTTTTTGGTTTAATCCATATTTTATTTTGATTAATGGATCAATTATTTAATTAATTTTTATTTGGGTGTCAAACTTTGATTTCGAAAGTTTACTTTTTTAATTATTCAAATTTTAAAGATAATTTTGTTAAATCTCTTAGGTTTATATTGATTACTTTTCTCATTAACGTAATTTTAGTTGAATAATTTCATGTTATTTTTGTAATACCTTTATAAACTAAAAATTACAAAAGAACAATAGTTTAAAAATTGAGGAATAATAATTAACAGTAATATTTGAACTTTCAGAAAGTATTTTATAGATTTGATGAACTAACAAATTATAATTACTGCTAGCATTTATATTGTGAAAGGGATTAATCAATTAATAAACAAAAAAAGTTCATTTGTTTTTCTGTCAATCGAAACATGAGATATTCATTTTCTTCTTAAAAATAGTTCATTTATATTGTTATGGTATTTGAGGACCATTATTATTTTGGTCGGAAATGATAAAAACATAAAGCAAGGGTTGATATGAATAAGTTAATTTAAATATTATTTTTTTGTGCTATTAATATAAACGTGCACATTGTAGGAGTGTCAATTCAAAAATTGATTAAAAATTCTCATATATGACAAATATAAATGGATTATCAACAAATTAATCTCATAAAGCATTTAAGATGATTTTCCAGCCCATGACATGTCTCTATATTTAAAAGGTTGAATTCTTATATATTAAACTGTCGTGCATATTAAATATATATTAAGTAAATTTATTTTTAATAAATAACGTACACAAATATTTTTTTCTTATATTCTTTTGAATGTAGATTTGCAATAATTATGTTAATGATATGAAATATTTGCATACAACAATAGTGGGTGGTTTTATTTTGGTATAAAATGTCTAAATTTAAATGATATGAAATTTATTTGGTATTTATAGAAGTGTATTTGGAAAATTTTAAAACCAAATAAGTGGTATGAATTTTATTTGGGTTAAGTACGATAGTCGAATTTTAGGTTGATTTGTTATAAAATCAAAGTGATATGATCATAAAATTTTAGCATATTATCATAATAACTTGAGATATTGATGGTAATTAGGCAAATTGGTATGTATTCCTCTTGAAAATCAGAAAGATCTTGGAACAAATATTGGTTAATAAAACATACAATATATAATTTAATTCTAGATAATTAGTTAATAAATTTGAACAATAAGGTAACTGACAACAAGTCTAAAATATTGCGAGATAACATGTGTGTGTATATATATAAGAAAATTTATTGTGTAGTCCAAATTTGGGTTACAAATAGTCAAATAAGTATTTATTCACAATTTACGGGTCAATATTAACTTAGACGTAAATGGAACAATCATTTATTCATAGTTTATTAAATTATTCAAGTACTTAAACTTTTTGATTTTGGATAGTTTATACCAAAATTAATTTATTTCAATTAATGAAATAATATAAGTTTTATATTATATTTATTAATCACATATATTTTTAAATATATGATAAAATTTTATCAAATTAATTATTTTATGGAGTCATATTGTAGTCAAATCGAATTTTTGAATGAAAACTTTAAAATAACAATTATTTTGAAATGAGTGTAATTTAATTTATTTTCAGTTAAGTGCACCGTACGAGTTGTGTGCTAATTTTAAATAGACATATTTTACTGATTATGTAATTTATAGATATTATTTAATAAATAGTTTTAATATATGAATATTAATGAGTATCTCTTACTCGTGCATCGCACGGGATTCGTACTAGTTTTAAAAATTAGTTTGGTTAAATGATTCAAAAGCGGGCATAGAGTTAATAATTATTAATATGTTTTTTTAAATTTGACACTAATAGAATCAATAATAATTAATATGTTTTTTAAAGTATAAAATATTAAAAATATCTAAATAATTCAGCATATTATTAGTTTAGAAAATAGTGAAGACACATCCAATTGTTTTATACATTTATCTTTATCAGTTCTTTTTCATGCAAGAGCTCAAGTGTTGGTGTAAGAAGGATAGTAATTAGCCACCTTCTCTTATGTATTTGACAATACCTACCCGCGGTGTTCGTCAAGGAGACTCAATATCCCTATACCTCTTTGTGTTGTGCATTGAACGGTTGGCTCATTTGATTGATGCTTCTGTGGCGATTGGCGAGTGGCGAGTGGCGACCTATCTCGGTTGGGCGTGGGCAGGTCTCGGTCCCGTATTTAATGTTTGCTGATGATTTGCTTTTATTCATCGAAGCGGATTCTATCCAGCCAGATTTCTTGAAGGCTATTCTGCAGCGGTTTTGTTTTGCCTCGGGCCTGAAAGTGAGCGAGCCAAAGACTTAAGTATTTTTCTCTTCTAACGTTGAGGAGGCTGCTCAGGCTTCTTTAGCGCAAAGATTAGGCTTTCAGGCGGTTGATAACCTAGGTAAGTACTTAGGCATGCCGATAATTGACAGTAGGGTGACTAAGGCCACTTACACGGAGATTGTGGAGAAAACGGAGAAGCGACTAACCGGCTGGAAGGCTACGACTCTCTCTTTGGCCGGGCGGGTCACTCTTGCCCAGGCGGCGATTAGTACACTACCATACTTTGCTATGCAAACGGCTTCCTTGCCGTATGGAGTCTGTGATAGCTTGGAGCGAAAATGTCGGAATTTTATCTGGAGTGGGACGGACTCCGCTCGTAAGATTAGCCTCGTGTCC